AAATAAAATTTAAAATAATCTAAATGTAAAATACAAGACAGGCAGATGCTCAGTGGTGTTTAGCTCTAGAAAATTAGCAGTATATGCTAGACAAGGCTTTCCTGATGCCTCTGTGATAAATCCCATTCTCAGAGATTTATAACTCAATTGCTACCTAAAGAGAGATTCCTCCTAACCTAAAGCTTGGCAGGCCAGGCTTCTTGTGTCTTTGCTGCTAAGCCTCGTGGTTTGGTCTAGCTAAGATCTGGGGAGAGAAGAGCTCCAGATGTGTGCCCGAACGCAGGAGAGGTGGGAGATGCAGGAGAGCTGGGTTGTCATCCTTCTCCATCCCTGACATAGAGCTGTCACCTCAGGCGGTGATTATCTCCAGCGTATGGAGCAGGTACGACTTTGCATCTTTGCTTTCGGTAGAGCTGTGTGCAATGGCAGGTTTTGGTTTCTTTGTCTGAGATAACTGGTTGCCTTCTGACTCGAGGTAGGAAAAGCTCGTTTGCAGCCTGGTCTGGGCACGTCACAAATATTTTTGTTAAAGAACTGGAATCAACGCTTGTTTGAAATTCAGTCCTCACTAAGGCTGTTGTTGAATTTACACCCATCTGGTCAAGAAACCTGGCCCATTTTGGCAACTCCCCTTCTTAAATGGCCAGGTGCCTTCACTTTTATGTGCAGAATTTATCGGGTTTCATAGAATCATAGAATCACAGAATGGTTTGGGTTGGAAGGGACCTTAAAGATCAACGAGTTCCAACCCCCTGCCATGGGCAGGGACACCTCCCACTAGCCCAGGTTGCTCGAAGCCTCATCCAGCCTGGTTTGGGAATCCTCCTTTTTGTTTCCCCCTAATCTGTAATACTTTCAAAGGGACTCAGTGTTGACTAAACTCTTGCCTGTTACAGTGAATAAGAAGTGCTGTTTCTTGGGTCTTTAAATCAACTAATCCTCCAAGACCCTGGGTAGAGGCAGGGCCACCTTGCTCCCCTCCCTCATCTCTTTCTCCTTGCCTTTTTTTCTTTTAATTTCGTAAAGGATATTTTTTTACAACTTCACATAAAAAAACCTGTGTGCATCGCCTTGTCTTTTGAGTTCTGATATATGGATGCTTTACGCTTGTTTTATGTCTCAATACTAGGAACAGAATGATCCGTAGTAAAAGGAAAAGATGCAAAAGACTGCAAAAATAAAAAGAAATCTTTGCTGCTGTTGAAATACGTGACTACAGTATGCACAGTGTTACTCTAAAACTAGGCATTAAAGAAAAAACCCAAAACCCTGCTTGCAGAGTTGTAAAATAAATGTGGCTCGAACTGTGGCATGTTTCTTTTGACTCCATTAATACACTGTTGTTTCTAACTGATTATTTATATTCTGGTAGCAGCAAGACACCCCAAGTACCATGGGAGCCCATCGCTGAAGACCTCGGCTCCCACCGTTTATCACGGGCGCGTCTGAAGCTTTCATTGTTGCTCGCCCGGTTTCGCTGCTTTGACAGCCCAAACTGCGGCCATAAAACAGGACGCAGTAGTTAAGCAGCGTTGAGTTAGACATGAGGGAACATTGCTTCATAAATCACACTTTGTACAGTAGCAAAACTCTGTAAACTTCAGGACGAGCATTTAATGAGCAGCAGTATAGTTCCCCCGTGGTGGAAAAGCAGCGTAGGGCTGATCCGAGGCTGTGCACAGCCCATCACTTTCTGCTACTTTATTACTCATCATCTGCATTGTTAATTTTTACTGGTTCATTTTAGGTTTTTAAAGCTGAAGCTTTCTGGTGTGAATTTATACAAGTAATAATGTACACTTTCTGCACAGCCTCGGAATTTGAGGAAAACTCTTGTTAATCACTTCTCCGGGGAGGTTTTCCATAATTTTTCCATTGAGAGTTTTCCAGAGTTGCTGGTCTATTCTCCTCAAGATTTGTAGCCGGAGAGGGAAGTTTTCCTCACCCTGTTTCAAGTCTCCCTGTTATCTTCTTTTCCATTTAACCTCTCAGGTCTCATGGACGCTTCTCAGTGTGGGGAAATAGCAGCATAAAATGCAGCAAATGGAACTAATGAGTCTCAAACAAGCTGTTTTCCACTTATATGAGTGAGGCCAAACGAAGCAGTAAAATGTCGGAAGTCAGGGTTACTGATTGCTGGAGGGAAGAAGCAGTGCCAGGGAGGACAGAGTGACTATGAATATGTCGTACAAGAGCAATAGCGGTGTTGCAGGAGAACAGACATTGTATTTCCTTGCTCGTCAGGGTGGCTGCAGCTGTAATCTTAAAATGTTCGTAGAATCACAGAATGGTTTGTGTTGGAAGGGACCTTAAAGATCATCGAGTTCCAACCCCCTGCCATGGGCAGGGACACCTCCCACTAGCCCAGGTTGCCCAAAGCCTCATCCAGCCTGGCCTTGAACCCCTCCAGGGATGGGGCATCCACAGCTTCTCTGGGCAACCTGGGCCACGGCCTCACCACCCTAACTGTAAAAAATTTCTTCCTAATACCCAACCTCAATCTCCCCTCTTTCAGCTTAAAACCATTACCCCTCATCCTATCCCTGCACCCCCTGATCCAGAGCCCCCCCATCTCTCCTGTAGCCCCCTTTCAGCACTGGAAGCTGCTCTAAGGTCTCCCCGGAGCCTTCTCTTCTCCAAGCTGAACAACCCCAACTCTCTCAGCCTGTCATTGTGTGGGAGGTCCTCCAGCCTTCTGACCATCTTCATGTCCCACCTTATGCCACATCTATTGTTGCTTGCAAGCAGGAAAGTACATTTGATCTGTTTATGTGGTCAGAATAACACCATAGAAGAGTTCTACTAATGAAAGTAGTGGATTTTCCCAGATTGGTGACATTTCAGTAGGAACTGTGTTGTTCTCTTGCTCTGTTTAGGGCTTGATCTGTGGCTTGCTCACTTTGTGTGTGTCTTGCCACCAACTTCAGCAGTTCTCCCATTACTTTCTTGGATGGATTTGTGGTGTTGGCAAAAATGTCTTGCCGACTGGAGAGTGCAGCTTCCATCAGGTTCAAACTGAGCAGTGACCTCTTGGTATTTCCTCATGGAGGTAAATGGTTTTGCAGGAAATGCCAGCTGCTGAGACCTCGCTTTGAGGCTCAGCTGCTCACATCAGCAGGTTGTGTCCTCTATTGTATGCCTTCATCCCATCCTCTTCCCTTACCCATATCCTGGTGAAATAGAGACTGTATCTTCAATGTATGAACTGTGAACACAATGCAGGTCTCAGAGGAATACCATGAAGACATCCATGAACCTATGCAGACATCATGATTTATTTATTTTAATTATTTCCTCCAGCAATGTGAGCACCAGCACCTATTTTCTCACTTTCTTTGGGTTTGCATACAACTGCACACTCTCAAAATGCAGCAGGTTTATTATTAGAGAGAAGATTGATCCAAATGCTGCATCTCAGCCTTGATGCTGTTCCCGTCACAAAGTTCAATTACTGTTTCAATTACACTTCAAGCCCTTGATGAGCATTCATTAGTGGGGAGTTCCCATAGTCATCTGGCTGTGCACAGTCACACACTGCTGCAATAAGCAGGAGGCAAAGATGCTGTAACAGATGCAAAGGCGAGGATGCTGCTGATCCTTTGGTCTCTTATTAGGAGATCATCTCATGCTGGTGCTGGAGCTAGAGGTCCTAGGGTGGAAATGGCAGAGGTGGGGTGAAGTTGCTGGCCAGGCTTTGCGAACGCAGATGGACTTGGAGAAATTAAATGGTGTCTTGACTCAGGACCCAGAGTTGTTTTCATAAAAACTTAAAGCCGGCAGTTTTTCCATTTGCTGCAATGGGCTTTGAGTGCGACCTGCATAAACCAAGACAGGAAGATGTCTTCTAAAGGAGATATAATAACTAAATGGGAAGAGATTTGCTTTAAGCAGAGATTTTCAGTGGGGTTTTGGAGTCAGTATTATGCCAGAGATCTTAGTGCATCTGTCCCACCTGGGGTTTTCATACTTCCTCTCCCTTGCTGAGTGATTGGGTCATGTTGTAGTGAGGAGCCCTGGGAGAATTCATGGCACCTCTAGACAGAAGAGTGGCTACTCCCACCCTTAAAAACAGTGACTCAAGGGCAGAACTACCTGAAAAAGCTTCAGGGGACCATTGGGCCATAAAGATGTATCACATTAGCGATCATCCTGTTACAGCCCATGTGCACTCTCTTACCAGTAAGAGCAAGCACCCAACTGGCCTTCCGTTAACTTACTTTTGCAACTCTACAAAAAAGCCAAGGCGGCAGTCAGGCCATCTTGTTGGGGAAAGTCATGCATGTTTAACCTCACTGGGTATTGCTGCCTTGCTGTGCATCCTTAGTGTGCTCTTAATGGGGATTTTCTCTGGAATCACGTTGCAGTGTAAATGCAACAGCCTTACCATCGCTGTCTGTGCAAAACTAAAGATGACATGATGCCTGATTTTGATGCAGGGAAGCAGATTTATTTTTACGTGTTCCGTCATGTGCTTCCCTTGGCTCATAATGAATACTTGAATGGCTCAGAGCTTGGTATTCCCATGTCTAAATCAATCACCTTGCAAATTTGTGTTTATAGGTTTGCAGATGCCCTCTCCAGAGTACATAGTTGATGTAGAGTCTATGGACATTTTCCCCGTTGGCTGGTGTGAAGCGAATGCTTATAACCTGACTCCACCACACAAAGCTGTTCGTAAGTACATTGAAACCCCAAGCAGCATAGATACCACATCAACGGATTTATCAGGGAGTTTGTCTTATGTCTATAACCCAATTTTTGAAACTACCAGCCTAACGAGCAGACTGGTAACCAGGCTGTAAGTGTACTGTAATAAATAGTAACGTATCTAATTAGTGACCAGCACTGGTATTATGCAATTTGCACTTGTCTGTGTGATCAATCCCTCTGAAAATGAGATTGTTTGCACTGGGAAAGGCTGTTGCGTGGTTTGGGATTGCACAGTGTGGGTTTGCGATGGGGTTGTTGGAGTAAAACCAGGTTTCGTTGCATTGCCCTCAGCCAAGTTCACTTGGGCAGCTGAGTGAATTAGGGATATAGGACCTCAAATTGGAAAAAAACCCCATAAAATATAGGGTGGAATGGACATAAAGAGTCCATCCAGGTGCTCCCTCTCCAAAACAGGGTCTGCTTCATCTAAACTGAGAAATATTTGCTGGGCTCCTGTGATGGAGGTTCTGCCCCTTCCCCAGGTATCTCTGCTGTTGTTTCACTGCCCTTACCAGCTCAGAGATTTCCCTAGTGTTTAATTTAAATCTCTCCTGGCACAATTAAACCCGTAGTGTTTTGTGCTGCCTCCAGTGCATATTAAGACCAATTTCTTTCCTTTCCATTTGCATTTGAAGGCAGTTCATGAGTGCTCGGTGGCTTGGTGTTGTTCTGTTCCTCGCAGAAACTATCCAACCCTGATCTCCAGCCACCAAACGAAGAATTAGCCTGGCTGTTTACATTAATTAACATCTGAAAGGCAAATTTTAAAATGTGTCAACCCTTTTGAAGAGTTAAATATGCTTAAGTTAAAAATCAGACATCCGGGGTCTAATTTGGGGGAATACTGCTATGGCAACATTATTCAGCCTTATCACAATTTATAGCTAGGGATAAATTATGCTGGAGGTAATCATGCTTGTAAAATGTAATCTTATCCATATGTGTTCCTGTAAGGAAAAATATTTGTGTTTTTATTTTAATTTTTTTTTATATACTGATCCCATAAAACACGATATTAGCATTCCAGAGGAAAGATTAAATGTATTATTACATCTTTAAAGTAGGTTTTAATGATGTAGTGACTTACTTAAAAAATACCAAGAAAAGATGGTGGTAGTAATTAAGTACCATTTCATTGTGTTAGAAGTCATTTTATAGTCAGTGCATTTATACAGCTTTTTATGCGTTATGAGTATACTTTATAGGACAGAAGAGTACAAAACTGTATTTTTCTTCCTTGCTTCATTTTTGCAGTGCGAAGGAAGAGAAGAATTGCAGTTGTGCAACCAGAAAAGCAGTAAGTTTTGTTGTTTAGGGTGATATTTTCACAGAGATGCACCAGATCTTCCAGGGGAGATAGTACACAGCAGCTGAGTGACTTTGCTGACTGCTGCCCAGATACTGCAGTGGAGTTGGCAGGGTGATTGCTTTAAATCTAAAATGTTTGTGAACATGTAAGAAATTATTTGCAATAGAAATATTTATGAGATGGGACTGTGTAGCCAGCGTCTCATGGCCAGTAAGGGATGCTTATGGAAGACAGGCATTTCCCTATCTATTGCAGTTTCTAGAAACTAGAATTTAAGGGACTTAAATGTGAATATTTGCAGCCTGAAAGGCTAAAGCTCACAGACCAGAGTATATTTTTGGAGGAGGGGTGGATCTGGTTCCTTCTTCTGCAGTATACTTGCTCTAGGCTGTGATAAACCTCATGGAAGTGGGGTTGTGTTTGAGTTATCTCCATTCCTTGGTCCAGGCAGGTGCTGGTGTATCTCTCAGTCCAACCTGAAGGCTGGTTCTGCCCCTTTGCCCCTCCTGACACTTTTAAATACACTGAATTGCTGTTTAACAGGTTACCATCCACAGTGCCTGTTGAGAAAATACCTCATGACCTCTGCCCAGTTCCTCAGCCAGACACAACAGGTAAGGCTGCTCGGCGCCAGAGGGATCCTTATTTCAAGGGACCGTTGCTTCTGTGGAGGGGGATGACCCCAAAAAGGGAGCCAGTGTGTCATATGGGTGAGGAGATGGGACCACATCCCCAGAGGGTCTGAGGGTGTGGACCCACCAGCAGTGCAAGGAGTGTCTGATGATAGAGAGGGTCTGGTCCTCTGCAGAGGTCTTGCTGGGGTTATCAGAGTTCCCCTGCAGCTTGCCCATTTCAGCTAATGATGTTATGGCCAAGCTAATGAAACCCTGGTGGAGGTGGATGCGACTTTTTAATTGGCATCGATGAGATTGTTTACACCAGGGCTTAATGCGTCCCTGTGTTAGCATCATGACTGGGTGGCATGACTGCTTTTTGTCCCCTTTAGCAATGGCAGGATGCTCCAAGAGTGCAATGTTCATCCCGTTGATTGCATAAACGCGGCAGGAGGGGCAGGATTTAACTCATTTTGTTTTAGACAACTGCAAGGCACACGTTGGCACCTGAGCCAAAATCCCACAGCCCTCTTACGGTTAAGTGGGGAGAAGCAGGCTCTTTTGGGGTATGATAACCAAAAAGTGGGTAACCACCTGCACAGCATGAGCCTCATCGAGAAGCAGCCACTTCTCTCCAGTGGCTATAAAGGAGCCCAGACTAATTAGCCAAGACAAAGAATAATCTGTAGACCCATCTTGGGTCAAGGGAATGGCATTCCAGTGCTTACTGGGTTGGATGGTATTTGAACAGGAGTTTCTGGAGCCCTCTACCTGAATTTTGTCCCTGAGTCGATTCTGTATCTGTGAGAGGCAGCTAATATGTTCTCTTTCTGGCAAGTTCCAACTGAGTCACTCACATGCATCTGCGATGAGAGTTATGAAAGTGCCTCAGGTCATGACATGAATTAATTCCTTTCCTGATTCTCCTTTTGTCAAGGTGTGCAGCCAAATCAGTTGCTATTAACAGCAATTGCTTTTCCCGTGCTGGACAGATTCGAGTAGCGGAGGCTTCTCTACCTCCTATGCCAGGGAAGACTTCTTTGTGCCTCATTTACTCTTCTCCTCTCCTTCCTACATCAAGGAGGAAGAAGAAGGGCCCTTGATTTATTGTACAAAAGTGCTACACGCACATCAATGCTACTTTCTCCTTGCAGGCACCATCAATGGGAGATACTGCTGCCCCCAGCTCTACATCAACCACCGCTGCTTCTCAGGTCCATATTTAAACAAAGGCAGAATAGCAGAGCTACCTCAGTCTGTCGGGCCTGGCAAGTGTGTGCTGGTCCTCAAAGAGGTAGGGCTCAGCTATCTTTTGGGGGGATTTCAGGGGAAAGCATGGGTCATGGGTTGTCAGGCGCAAAATTTGAAAAGAAGGCACCTGAAATTGTGCTGGAGCTCTGTAGTGGTTTCCATAAGTCAAAAATACAAGCTGGGAAGAGAGGGTAGGTATATGCATTGTGGGTTTTGATGGGAGAGGTGACATTTTTGAAACGTGGGGAGTTCCATTGGTTGGGAGCAAGTTTCATCTAACTGTGTGGAAGAGAATTCATGTTCTGACCAGAGCCATCCCCAAAGAGGACCTCTGTGGTTGTTGCCATCAACCTGTTTCTGAGCATCCACAATGCTGTTGGGCCAGCAGATTCAGTGGGGGTGACACCTTTCTACCTGTGACCATGGTCCGATGGGGACCAAACCATCAGGATCCAAAGTGAACAGGACAGAAGGCCAAGTGGGGCTGTGTGGTGTGCTAAGTGGAAGCTGTGGTGTTGAACTTGAATGGGTTAATCCCATGCTGCAGGGATGGCAGAGCACCCCCATCTGTTCACTACATCCTGACCAAATCAGTGCTTGCTTTGGGCCAGATCCAGGGTGTTGAGCTCTTGATGTTGACCTCAGAGAAAAGCTACCTTGTCTTAAAACAATGCATAAATATTTTACACACATTGCAGTCCATATACAGATGAGAAGCAAGATGCCCCCTCCCTGGAAGTGTTCAAGGCCAGGCTGGATGAGGCTTTGAGCGACCTGGTCTAGTAGAAGGTGTTCCTGCCCATGGCAGGGGATTTGGAACTGGATGATCTTTAAGGTCACTTCCAACCCAAACCATTCTTTGATTCTATGATGTCTGCAGGTCGGGGAGGACAGCAAGATGGTACTGTTGGATAAGTAGGATGCCACTGGTGCCTTTGACACCATTTCGGTTTGACCTGGTTCTTCTAGAGATTCAGTTCTTCCAGCTTTCTGTTCTGTACCTGTATGAAACCCACTTGATGTGGACACAGGGGCATATCTGAGCTCCCTCTGCCCTTGGTGGAAAAGCATGGGAACTTCTAGGTCTCCTTTTATCTGATGTATTTGCAAAACCGTCCGTCCACAGCTCAGGATGTTTGCAGTTGTCTGAAATTAGATGAATCCCAACCCATAATAGAAACACCTGAAAGGTGAGATTCCACCCAAATCACCCACCACTTTTGAAAACACATCTGTACTGTCCTGTAGAGTGACTCCTGTGTCCCCATTCACTTTCTCATCACCTCCGTGCACTGCTTTGTACACAACAGCACTGCAGGTTGTCTCACATGGTTGAAAAAGCTGGGCTCTGAAGAGAGCCCAGTAAACCAGCTGTCTGTGCAGGTGGGACACTTGAGTGTCAAAGAAGTGAGTCAAAAATAGCCCTCAGCAGAAAACAGGATAAAGTGGTTGCAGAGTGAAAGTTGACAGCTGCCAAATTTGAAAGCAAGTCCATCGCGGCTTGCTGATGGGGAGCGTTAGCAATCTGCTGCTGCTTGAAAAACAGGCAGTGAAAAAAGCAGCATGGGGGAAACATGAGGCATGCACAGCCAATACATATGCTAATGTTTCTTCCTCCTTTCCTCCTGGAATTTGGATTTTGAAAACATAAGCAGTGCAAAACTTCTGCCAGGTCCTCCCCTAGTATCTTAGGGCTTTGCTGCACAGATTAACACCAGGTTCTCCAAATTTCTCAAGAATGGGACCAGTTACCAACTGTGGAAGCCAACCTGAGTTTCTTACAGAAAGGCTGTTTTCTCTTGCTCTGCCTCCTTAAAGAACTGCTTGTTGAAGGAGCAAATAGCATGAGACATGGGCATCTTGCTTTTGGAGGCACGAATGGTTTCCCAAGGAGCAGAACAATGGCAGTGGCCCAGCATTGGTCAGTGTTATTTTGCAGATAAATTCAAGCTCAATTCTGGCCCACGGAGGCTAGGTCCAAATTCTGGAAGGGGTGAAGAGAAGATGTCTATTCAGGGTGTTGCTGTTGGGGAGATGCACTTGGTTCCTATCAGCTGCAGCCAAGATGAGAGAGGTGTAAGCAGCTCAGATGACCATGGGCATGGGGGAGGATGGGGTACCCAGCACATGGAGGAGGCAAGAAGTGGCAAAGAAGACATCCCTACATCAAGATGAAAATCTGCAGCAGCTTCCATAGCACCCAAAAGGATTGCAGAGCTGGGTGGTGAGAACAGTACAGGAGACATCTCCTCCAGCCCAAGACCACAACCACAAGGCTTTGCACGGCTGAAGAACTCACAAGGGTCCCCAGTCTCAGTGCTGAGCTTGATGCCTTTATCTCACTTTACACCTGCTGATGATGTGGCCCCGAGAAAGCAAATGCATTATAATTATCTCTCACTATATAGGAAAATTGCGGGCCATTGTAAATTATGCATCAGCATAACTTGTCTGGAAATGGATAAATTATACATGGGCTTTACTTTGGCAACACACAGGGGAGGCTGGGAAAGACAACTCAAAACAACAGCTATGAAGGAAAACCGGAGTCAGTAGCAGTCTGGCAAAGCTTCTTAAATCACCTGGGTCTCCAGCTATAACTCACTGCTGTTAGAGATGCTCTAGTTAAAAATCTGTGCCAGTCGCCAGCCAGTTCACTGCGGGCAGCAGTCTCCATGATGGAGATGCTGCTGTGTCTGGCACTGATGGAAACCCCAGACTAAAAACAGCTGAACAACCAACTCCCACCCCATTCACTGTCCTGGATTACCTCTAAAGCAAGAAGAGAGCAAATGTCCACTCCCCACTAGCACCAGGTGATAGGAGACTTGGTCCTGGCTCGGTGCTGAGGGAGTGGCTCCCCATGTTCCACCTTCCTCCACACTCAGTCGTGAGGGATGTAGCAAAAAATGCAGCACAACTGTAGTTCATGATGCTCCTCAGCCCTCTTTTCCCCCAAGGTCTTGTCCTTCCTTACCTCCGTGCAGCAAAGCGTCATCCAGGATCCAGCTTCAAACGATCTGGTGCTACCAGCCTGCACGCTGATAGTGAGATAGTTGTGGGTCAGTACTGCTTAGCTCTGGTTGAACAAGGTTAGGAGCGTGGAGTAGGGACATCTCTGTGGGTCAGTACTGCTTAGCTCTTAGCTAACCTTAGCAAGGTTAGGAGCGTGGAGTAGGGACATCTCCTTCCATTAGCATGGAGTAGGAACATCTCATTCCACTTCAGTAGTCTGGGCTGTTCTAACCTGAGGTGTCAGGAGAGAAACAGCATGGAAAGGTTTGCTTTGATGCAGCACCTCTTTTCCATCAGAACAGGCATTTCTGCCGAGTTCTGCATTGTTACTGCATCCCCCCGATTTCTGCTCAATTGCTTTGTCCTAGTGTTGGGTTTAGAGGTTGTGACCTCTGTAGGGAGAAAACTGCTAAGGTGCCTTCCAGAATGTCAGCCCAGCAAAATCTTGAGAGTGATTGCAACTTATTTAGTAGTATGATCAAAAATACTGATTTTAATTCTGTGTGTGTTTGTGTGCGTGCATCCTGCATCCATGCAAAGCCCTACGTGAGTGACAAGTAGCTCTTGTACTATATAGTACCAAACTTATTTTTAAAGCCTGGCTGTTCATTAGTTGTGGTGCCAGTAACATCTCTACTGAGACCAGTGGTTTATTGTGGTTTATTTCACACCCAGAGGCAGATGAGATGGTAATGCCTGTTGTTTAACATCAGCTGCAAAGCTTATCTCATTCCTGAGATATTGGTTTGGAAAAGAAGTTAAAACTTGGAGTCAGATATAGTGGAGACATCAACTATTGCCATTCAAGAACCACATCTGGGCTGAAAAATAGTGACTGTATAGTAGCTAAGATGCATAATAAATGCCAACTTTAAGTTAAATTGAAATTGTTACACATTTTCAGCTTTAGATTTAATTCTTGGGTAAGAATATCTGAAAAATACTTCTGAACAGATCTTCCATCTATGCCAACAACTTACACGGCAACATGCTGAGACAAAATTAGATGTCTTTTTAAGACTTCACATGATCTATAACCCACCATATCTATGGGAAATATGCTGTAAAGATTAATTAGCCTCATTGCTTACTGCTCTTACTATTTTTAGGAGGCTTTGCTCTTTCTCTGTTTAAAAAGAAAATGGACTTAAAGGTAATCCAACTGATGCAGACAGGAGAAATCAGCCAGTGTTTGTGATAGAAAGCTATCGTTCTCTGCCACTTGAATTTTTTTGGAGCACAGCATGACTTCTTTTGGAGAAATTTGCATAATTAAATCATGGTGCTTAGAAAATGAAGTAGTTTGTACTGAGCCTTAGGTGTATGATTGAGCCGGGCTGATAGCATTATCATTCATGATCGGATATGGTGTTGGAATGGCAGAAACCTTCTGTAGCCTGGAAAGATATAAACTGCACTTCTGCAAGAGGGTTCACTGACATCCTCTTCAAGACTGCTCTGTGGACTTCAGCTTATCTGTAATAGCTCCACCAGCTCAGGATCTGCCTGTCTGGTTTTTTTGAAATGTCATGGACTGGCATAAGCGTGTCAACCCTTAAATCCTACAGCCTTGACTATGACAAAGGCTCACTTTTGTATGCTTGATCATCTAATGAAAGAATGCCAGGGAACTCTTCTTTCCCTTCTCTCTCTGTCCCACAGACACGTCAGTATTCCAGGGAAAATAAAATAACTTGTTATTGTCCTGCCTGAGGCTAGCCTGGGAGTTAGGGTCTCTCCTGTTAGGTAAAAGCTATGGGCTCACATCTCAGAGAGAAATTTAGTTTCTCCTCACAAGGATGCTGCTCTTGAACAGCAGAAGAGGTGTAATGGTATTTTGAACTGCACCTCGTCAGTGATACCTCCTGAGAAAGCTTCAGCCAGGGTTGGGACCATTAATGAAGAGGGGTGGAGAGATGGGAAATGTGTGAGTACCAAAAAGCTGTGACAGGAAGAAAGGTGCTGAACTGCCCAGTGTCATCAGGCACATCTGGACATGCCTAGAAAAGGGCCCTTGTGCACTTGATAATCTCTGACATGGAAAATTACAGCTGTCAGGTGCTTATAAGGTTGGGTAGAGGCTTGTGGTGGTGCTGTGTGATCATGCTCGCTGATGTGACTCCAACCTACTTGACTCTGAAAATCTGAAGTTATCAAAATAAAACCTCATAGAAGTGTCGCAGCAAAGGCTGGTGTTGTCTCATCCACCCCTCTGCTCCAGGGCCTCGCTGGCTGCACCCAAACTGTTCCTGATAAAGAGAGCTGAAAATAAACTACCAAAATCTCAGACTGGCCACACTCCAACCAGATAGAATTTAGTGAATCAGATAAATTTGACCAAGCAGATATGGGTGAAGTAACTTTCCATCTTCAGAGAAAGTTGGAAACTGGAAGACTGGAAACTGGTCTGGGTTTCTTTCCTGGTTTTGATTAATCACAGTTAATTTTTCCACAAGAACCAGTGTTCTTGTTTCTCTCTAGTGTTTAATAGTGTATAATATGAAGTGATAATGTTGTTTGAAGATAACAGTGCTAACATGGTGATGGGCCCCTGCTGTAGGGTAAAATGCCAAACCCAGTGACTTATCTGAGATACGAGAGTAAAAGCCAGAGCTTTATAAAAAACATTTTTTCTTCCCTTAAAGGGAAATTATTTTCTTACAAAACACTTTTTCTGTAGGGTGAAATGCCAAACGCAGTGACTTATCTGACGAGAGTAAAAGCCAGAGCTTTTTAAAAAACATTTTTTCTTCCCTTAAAGGGAAATTATTTTCTTACAAAACACTTTTTTTAAAAAAACTGAGTTTAGAAGTTTACAGAGTCCTGATATTGTGGGTATCTTTGCAGGGCTGGGGTTGATTAGGTGGCTGGGATAATGCCCAGACATGGCCAATTTGCAGGGTCGGGTTTTCTTGCTCATTTCCCAACTGTTCTGACAACTCATACAAACACTGTCATCCTGATAAAGAAGCAAGGCAGCACTGTTTGTGGGAATCGGTCAGCAAGAGACGCTCACTTTCTGCTCCCGATTTTCCCACCAACATGCAGAATAGGTGCAGAAGTGTGCTGAAGGAGAGCTCTCCCAAGCAGCTCCTGTGTAGGCGTTAAATAACTCCCTGGAATTGCTGATCATGGAATCACAGAATGGTTTGTGCTGGAGGGGACCTCGAAGATCATCAAGTTCCTCCCCCTGCCATGGGCAGGGACACCTCCCACTAGCCCAGGTTGCCCAAAGCCTCATCCAGCCTGGCCTTGAACCCCTCCAGGGATGGGGCATCCACAGCTTCCCTGGGCAACCTGGGCCACTGCCTCACCACCCTCACAGGAAAACATTTCTTCCTAATATCTAGTCTAAATCTCCCCTCTTTCAGTGTAAAACCATTCCCCCTCGCCCTGTCACTCCACCCCCTGATCCAGAGCCCCCCCCATCTCTCCTGTAGCCCCCTTTCAGCACTGGAAGCTGCTCTAAGTTCTCCCTGGAGCCTTCTCTTCTCCAGGCTGCACACCCCCAACTCTCTCAGCCTGTTAGGAGGGAAACACACCAGATGAGTTATGAATGAGCATGGGAGCTACCCAGGCACTTGATGTTTTTTGAAAACCCACCGTTGGCTTCCCTACCTTGGGTCTCTGTATCAGAGGCCAGTGCCCCATCAGTTTGTATGGTGAGCAGCAGATGTGGATGAGCAACTGGATGGGCTCACGCAGGAGCTTTATTTTGTTCTCTTGGGAACCAGTATGGCTCAGTAACTAGTCGAGTTGGTTGTGTAAAGAGATAGGAACCAGCTGGAGAGCTGTGGGTAAATCTATGTTGTAGCTTCCCCTTGTGTGAGGTAGGGAGTGTGCTGCTGCCCTTCCTCATAGAGTGCTTGGAGATGTACAGATGATCAGAGCTGCATAAGATAGTGGTGCTATTATTAGGCATTGCTTTAGGTGTCTCTAATTGCACTTTTTTGAGGAATCATTTTAGTAATGTTTCCAAGGGCCCAGCAATAAATGAAATTTTGCTTCTAGTAAATAAAGCAGCCAGACAACTCACCTCTGCCATTTCACATGGTGCTATGCAGCACTAAAAGTGAAGCCCTTGCCTGGAAATAATTCATCCTATGAGGTTTTCAAAATGCTAGAAAATCCTCAGGTTGCTGGATTAAAACAAATCAAAACACAACCAACCAGACTCCCCCACCCCCAACATAAATACATTTTTCTGTGCAATATGACATAGTCAGTTTTTCTTTTCTGATGAACCACATTTATGGGTGCTGTGGAAGCTTAATGCTCGTCATACTGAAATAATTTGCAGGGCCCCAAAGAATTAAGAACAGGCTTTAAGAGCAGAGCTAAATTATATCAAAACCAATCTAGACTCACTACGGGGTCATTCATGTACATACAATGCAGAGTGTTCAAACACATGGTCTGGTGGTGTTAAGAGATTTGTTTTTCTTGTATTTATCTCCTTAGGCCAAGTGTAGACTATTAAAGCTTGGTTTCCCTGAGCCAATAGTAGGAATAGTTTCTATTCTGAGATTTTGGATTAAGTGGATTGGCACATGTGTTTTGTTGTGCAGAGTGGGCACACACTGGGTTTCAGGCACACCTCCTGCAAATTCTTTTTGTGTAGACTTCATTAATATTCTGTTAATACAGTCAAGGCACGCAGCACTCAGACACTTCAGCATATTACTGACCTCAAATATGTGAGTTTCCCCTTTAGTGTTCGGTGTGTAACAGTACACATGGCTTTGTACCTGGTTGAGCCATCAGAAGTATTTTCATTTTTTATTAAATTGAGCCAGTATGGATGCAGGGTATGGGATCTGTTTTGGGTGAGAGGATCTGTCTCAAAGAAAAATCTTGGTTAAACTAAAATCTTTGGGGTTAGCTAGCAGCATTTAATGCAGTCACCATATCAGACTGATGTGTCATCTACAATATGCTGGGCACATTGATCTAATCTGAGACCTCTTCTGATTGCGTCTAGCACTTACCCTGTGCAGCCTTGGACCTAAGTTGGCACCTGTGAGCTGCTCCCACCTATGGAGCATGTGGGATGATATTCGTTGTGGTCAGGGACTAGTACTGCAATACTCATCAGTGTTGTCGATTTTGTCTCTCAATAGGTTCTCAGTATGGTGATCAATGCAGCTTACAAGCCAGGGAGTGTTTTACGAGAACTGCAGCTAGTGGAAGACCCTCAGTGGAATTTCCAAGAGGAAACACTCAAAGCAAAGTAAGTCTTCAACATGTGCTCTTTTGTTTGGAATGCTTCAAAAATGGAACTAACTGGGGGGTGGGGGGAGAGAACAAAAGGTTTTTTCTGTTGTGAGAGTTTTACTTTTTTAATTATCATTTTGCTTCATTGAATTATTTGACTTGTTCTGTAGCAACTTAAGAAATTAAATATTCACCTGAACGGTTCATTTCTATTGTCTTTCTTCAAGCAGCTATCCAGATTTTGATGAAAAATGCCATGTTTATTCAGTGAAGTCCTGAGTTTTATGATAAGCTGTTCCTGTAAGATTGGCTATTATTGAATTAGCTCAGTTCCTGGCTTACTAAATGTAGGAGTATTACTGCTTTTAATATAAAGCCTGTCACTCTAATGCAGAAAAACCTGGCTAGAACGAATTGCACAAGAATGCATGCAAATAAAATAGCAGAGACAGATTTTTAAGTAGAGGATCTGGGATTAAGATCAAGATTTAAGACCTTTCTAGAATACATGCTTCAATTCTCATCTAAGCAGCACTTAAGAAAACTGTGTATCTAGAAAATATTCGATTTCCAACTTTGAAATGTACCCATTTATGTCTTCTTTATGTAATGGGCAGTACACTTAGGATTTATTTCAAAAACTATTGTCTGTCTGGAAGAGGGGAGCCTCACCTAAGCTCTCTCCAGAGTCTCTCCAAAGAGCAATTCTTCCACTTCAAGGATATCAACAAATAGTTCTTTGAAGACAGTTCTTACCATTGGCTAACTTGGTCGCCTTGACTTCCTGAGTACTGAAGTTAAATGCAGTCAGTCTCACCCTTCATAGTGAACTCTGTTACTCCTTTTCAAATAAAGGCAATTTTCTCTTGATGATTTTAAATGATTGGCTGTCAAATATGTCACTATTGATTCTATTGTATTTGATCTTTGACCATGCAGATGTAGCAGAAAGCTCACTTGTGCTGTGGTTGAGGGAGAGAATTGAGAACCCTTTATTCTGCATACTTAGAAACCACTTTTCCAAGGGAGGATTGCAATTAGAAATGAAAAGCTACTAGAAAATGCTATTTTTAATTGTTTCTTTCACCCGTGTGGAAAGTGGTGTTTCTGTGTTTGTCAATTGAAATTTTGTGGATGGAAATCTAGAAGTTACCCTTGTGCATGCAGATTTTCATTAAAAACAAGTAATCATCCTTGACCTGGTTCTCAGTGATTCCAGGCTCCCACACCTTGTACTAGCAAACATCAGATAATGCACTCCTACAGGTACTTTGCAGTTGTGAATCAAGTCGATATGCCCCATGTTAATGTCCTATCCTTGCAAAGAATCGAGATTACGGGCAGTTTTCCTATTAGCAGTATCCAAAATAGAACTTTATTGGGATTTCTCATTTGAGCGTGGGGATCTGCCTTGTGCAAAAGCAGCAGTACCTAGTTCTGAACTCTGCTGCAGTCCTTATTTCTAAGGGAAGACAACCTGGAAAACATTCATCTGGAGAAAAGTCTTGTCCTTGATAGTCAGATGTATCTACACCCCAATCCACAGAGACCACAGGCAGCTTGCTGACTCTGGGTGTGCTTATACCAGAAAGACCAACTCAGTTAGGAGTCCGTGGGCTCATCCGTGTCACATACACCTCTTATCCTCCCTCACTGTTGCCTGATGTGCTAATTGTACTGCAATCAGCACATCCATCTTCGTTACCTTCCCCCATGATGCTTCTACCCATGCGTTCCTGTGTCTGTTTCCTTCTCCCATCTATTTAACAGGGCAACCAGCTTTCTGTGATACACCATATATAGCCTGCCAGATAAAAGTATACCTGTGCTTTCCATCAGGGTTTTGTGTTTCATGTTGGTCAGCCAGTCACAGGCTGTGTATGTGTTCCTGTATGATGGCCACCCCAGGAGGCAGCAATCTCAGCTCTTCAGCGAGTCAAGCACCATCTTTCAACTTTATCAAGCCACGGAATGGGTCATTGCAGGCTCAGAGCTAGGACAGAATGTTTTGGAGTGACTTCTAAGCAGAGAAACGTGTTCTCACTCAGTGTGGCATTGTCCTCTGGTTCCTAGGACTTCGTTCTTTTTTTCCTTCCTGAGTTTGCTTGAGCTGCTTCATCCAGAAGCATACTGGGGTTTTAATTGCGTTGGGTTGTGTGGAAGCAGACAAGAAGCCATGCTCATGAAATTAGATACCCTCGGTTGCGCAAACAGCACATGACACATTACATCAGGTATGACAGTCACTTGTGCTCCGGAATCTTAAACAGAGACCCGTAATGAGCAAACGGCTGTTTACACCGACTTGCAGCTACATGGGCTCCTGGCGGTGTCTTGCCACTGATGATGACAGCTCTACAGCCAGCTGGAGCATCTGCGCTGTAATGTGACATGTCGTGTCACCGCCTTCCTTCTGATGTAAACTGACAACTCCTTAGATCTTGACAATGTTGTTGGTTGTTTGCGGCGGCGGCAGTAAGGGCATAGAGCAAAGGGGAGGGAGGATGCTGAAGAGGAGGCTGTTTTCCCCCCCTCTGGCCCAAATGCCAAACCATGCATTGCCAAGAATGCATTCTCTCAGTCCTAGGGCAACCTACGTTTAGTTTACTCTGCTGTTGTGAGTGACCAGTGCAAAATCAATTACTGGCCTTGCAAAGATGATAAACATTTTAGATTGTCCAAAGAGGTGTGTCTGCAATGTGTGGTGGTAGTCACTTGCCATCAGTGCTGCTGACTCAACCTGATTTATTGGTGAGGATGAAATGTCAGGGCTGATCCTCTGAATTCCCATGAGGGCCAGCCAAAGCTGTAGGCATTCAACCCTTATCATTTTGGTGCTTTAAGTTCTGTGCCTACATCTAGATTTGGCTTCCCAATTTTACATAAAATGCTTGAGGGATGTTACTTTTTAAGGGTTTTCATTTCTAAGGGCTATAAGTGGGGCTGTTTGGACTTACCCATTTTTGCAGGACTTTGGACATAAACAGTGTGCAGAGAGTTATCTCCAGAGTCTTGTATGAAGCCTGGTTAATCAAAATAAGAAGGATGAGTATTCCTGGACTCCTTCATTAAATGAAATGTTGAGAGCTGCCCAAATCCAATAAAGTCTTGTTATCTCCTGAGTCTTGTATGAAGCCTAGTTAATCAAAATAAGAAGGATGAGTATTCTTGGACTCCTTCATTAAATTAAATTTTGAGAGCTGCCCAAATCCAATAAAGTCTTTTCACTGTGGGTGCTTTAGAAGACTACCTTTCACTTGTGATAGATGATGCTGAGGTGTTGAAAGTCATCTTTGTCTCAGCCTGTGCTAGCAGGGGTTGAGTCTTGTATGAAGCCTAGTTAATCAAAATAAGAAGGATGAGTATTCTTGGACTCCTTCATTAAATTAAATTTTGAGAGCTGCCCAAATCCAATAAAGTCTTTTCACTGTGGGTGCTTTAGAAGACTACCTTTCACTTGTGATAGATGATGCTGAGGTGTTGAAAGTCATCTTTGTCTCAGCCTGTGCTAGCAGGGGTTGCTCTCAGGACTCCCAGGTTTGGTTTACTATTTGAGGGAGTGAAGCGTTACCCACAGTAAATGGAGAACTACCTGGGGACACTGTAAGCAAACTGTATGCGCACAAGTGCATGGAACCAGACAGGATGCAGCCAGCTCTGTTTGAGAGAACTGGCCAATCTCAATGCAAGGTCACTCGCTGTCATATTTGAAAGCTGATGATGATCAGTTTCTTGATGTCTGGAAAAAGGCAAACATCCTTCTCCTGAAGAAGGAGAATCCAAGTATCTACAGGCTGTCAGCCTAACGTTCCTGGGAAGTTTATTAGGCAAATCCTCCTGGAAGCCATTTTCAAGAACATGCGGGGCCAGTAGGTGACTGGCAAGAACCAGGATGGATTTACAAAGGGTAGGTTGTGCCTGATGTGATGAGATAACTGGTTTGGTGGTTGAGGGAAAAACGGTGGAAGTTATTTATGTTGCTTTTTGCAAGGCTTTCAGCAAGGTGCCCCATAGTGTCCTTGTAGCCAGCCGGTGGAGATGTGGATTGAATGTGTGTGTGATGAGTGGAAAGTTGACTGGATGTCTGAACCCAAAGGGTTGCAATCAGTGATATGAAGTCCAAGTGGCAACCAGTTATTAACAGTGTTCCTCAAACGTCAGTACAAAGCTACAGCTCATTAGATCTGGTTCATCTTCCACATCAACTCTGCTGCATACTCCTTGAGTCCCTGCAGGGGTGAATTAGTGTGACCAGGTGGCCTTCTGTGCCAGATATTGGAGATAGAAGTCATTAGGACCAGTGGAATGACTTAACCCCTTTCTTTCCGTAATCAGGAGGAAACTTCACAAGGCATGTCCTTACAGCCAGAACAGTTCCAGGGCCCTTTCTGAAGCCTATCTTCAAGAGTACAAAATGCCACTTGGTGATTAAATAGCTTTGCAGGAAGATAACTTCTCATGTTTGTCAGGCTTTAAGCTAGGAAGACAATTGGAAATTTCTTGTAAAAGAATAGATAGGAGGTTTTGATCCCTCAAAAGGAAATTGAGGCTTCTAGCCACTGAGTTGTTCAAAAAAGTCTCAAGGACTGTCAGAACTGTGGGCTGTATCCTTATGATGAGAGTTCTGAAAATGAGGGTAGTCTCAATGTTCTTGCTGTTTGAAGTGTCTTCAGCACAAGACTTTTCATGTCATCACACCATGGTCCCTAACTGGAGCTGCCAGAAGACGTTTTGTTCTCATGAACCTCTGATCTATTTTATCACCAAAGGAAGCTTCAGCAGAACGATACTGCCAGCAGAGTGCTATTGGCTTAATACTGTTGCTCATAGATCAGCAAAGATCCCAAGTATGTTTTTTTTTTTGTAAATAGTTTCAGCCATAAGTGTTTCTCCAGTTTTTGGGATCTGAGGGCAGAGAAGGGAGGAGAGGAAAGGGAGATTTCTTTGGCTTTAGCTGAAAAATCTTTTTTAAAAGAACAGTGATTTTAAAGAAAACTGAAAATGTTATGCTTGACACAGCTGTTCTCCAGGTCTCCAGTGCTGCCATGCTATGCATACAGGTTACTTACTGCTTACAAGTGGTTGGGAAGATTGGAGTCCTAGAATGGAAACATCAGTAGGAGTATCAGTACTTGGTACTTTTTTGAGCGGTGCTAATGGAAAAGGGTTTTATGATTATATTCAAAGGAGCTCTTTCCACATGGCTGTCCTAGAACCGCTCAGATTACATTTGGTGGTGTTTGTGTTAAAAATCTTTAGTGTGTGAGGAATATGGAAAATACTAGTAAAATCTGGTTTATAGCTGAAAGATGTGCTGCCAAAGCCAAAGTCACATAAAAAATATTACTGCTGCCAGTACTAACACCTTGGGTTATTGGGACTGGTTGCTGCAGTCATGTTGATCACCGTTTTGCCGTCAGTTCTGTTAATTACTATGTGTGTCGCATTCAAACTAGACTGTGAAATCAGTCAGTTGTTCATTTTCCTAGTTTCATCTTTTCTTTCACCAAGCGCTTCAGTACAATGGGTCCTTTCTGGGCAGCCAAACACAATAGGAAGCACACAGTTAGAAAAAGTCAGCCATCCTTGAATAATGCCCATCAGGCAGCTTTCCTAGCTTATAAGAAAGAAGATCAAGGAGGCAATTTGATTACAGCGCTTTTGCGGGGAAACAAAACCAGATGCAGTCTTTTCATCCTAGCGGTGAAAGTCAGAACAAGGACAAATAAATGTAAGTTAAAACCAGACACATCCAAACATAAAATGAGGCATAGGCTCACGAGGTATAGGTACAGGTGCTCCCACTGCCAGGATTCTTTCAATGTGGAGACCCTCAAGGGGATGCTGGTGCTTTTCTGGAAGTGATGCTTTAGTCCAACCAAAGTTGTTGGGGTTCAGGGGAAGGTGACACAAATTCTAAAGCCTGTCACAGGAGTCAGACTCGCTGATCTTGATCTAGGCTGTCATTAAACTTAATGGCTGCTGGGGAAGTAATAAGGGCAGGAGTCTTTTCAAACACATTGAAAAGAAATATGAAACATTTATAAGTAGACATATATAAATGCCTGTGGAATTTGTTCTTTTGATATTAGGTATTGCCAAATCCTTTTTAGCCACCCTGGCTGCCTGTGCGGCTATTTCATAGGGAAGCTGAGATAACAGTGCTCTGTATCTGGAAGGAACACTTTTTCCATTTCACATCATCTGTCTGGATCTGTCAGCATATGTGAAGAGTTGGCTAAGCCTTTCTTTCTTTCTTTCTTTCTTTCTTTCTTATTTTCTCTCTCTCTTTCTCTTTCTCTCTTTCTCTCTCTCCTTCTCTCTTTTACTTTCTTTTTTCTTTCTCTTCTTTCTCTTCCCTCTTTTCTTTCTTCTCTCTCTCTCTTTCTTTTCATCATTCATTCAGGAGGATGAATGAATCCAGGATTGTCTGCAAGACCTGGGGTCCTTGGTTAGGCACGCAGTGTGGTATCAGAGCCTGGTGGCTTGCTGAAATGCTCTTTTAGGTTCTGAAAGAGTTTTGTGTTGAGGTGATAGTTTGAATTAAATCTTCTTCTTGGATGGTTGGACTGGGCTGTTCTCAAACCCACATTTTATTTGGATACCCCTCTATAATACTTCATCTAACACAGTTTCAATCCCTTTTCCCATACCCCTGTGTTTCCAGATAGAACTTTTTGGGAGGGAGAGCAGCAAAAGGTGGTTTCTCAGTTGCTTTGTGCAACTTGGTAAAACCTTCAGAGAGGGAGCAGTGTCTGTGTGTATGCTGTATATTTTAACTCTCCAGCCATGTCTCTTTTATTTCTCCTTCTCCTCTTCCTCTTCCATATCTGACTATCAGCAGCTGATTCCCTGCTAGGGAACTGTGGATCTTAATGCACTCACAAATGCTTTGTCTCATTTTTCCTGACAATTGTGTCTTTTTCTTTCATTGCCTGCCATCCAGTAATCTTTCTTTCACTGTCTCTCACTCTTTTTCTTTTGTGTGTGTTACTTTTCTCTCTTCTAAGCACATTTATAATGCCTTAGCACCAGCCGCTTGTTTAGTTGTCTGTTGTGTTGCATTCCTCAGGACATGCAAGAGATGTTTTAAAAACCTTATCTCACTGTTTACAATAGCTTGGTGCTGCTGTTTAATAAATTATGGAGATAATTGGTTTTTCAGAGTTCACATCTACAATGTATTACAGCAGGGATGTAACTGCATCTTTCTCAGCCATTTATCGCTCAAAAACACTTCATATAAAACGCTGAAATAAATGTTTTAGTAGCACATGGATAACAAATTTAAGACAAACCTTTCATTGCCAATTTCTGCTCTAAGCATTCCCTGTAGGAACCTGTTTTTAAGGCCTGTTCTTGCATCCACGTTAAACAACTCAAGAGACTCCTGATGAGTTCCTTGGGTTTTGTGTTGCCCACATCTCGTGGCGGTGGTCATCTGGTGTCCGTATGGCAGGCAGTACAGTTTCACTCGGATACTTCTACTCAGTGTATGTCCCAGTAACCACAGTTGGCACAATGAAGCTGTGGGCTTGCTGTGAGCGGGAGTGTGATATGAGAGCTGCCTTGGGAAAGATGGCAATGGAGGAGACCAAAGGTGTGTTGGGGGCTTATAGAGGCAGTCTCCAGTGCAGCCGAAACACAGGATGGTGACCAGAAAGCTCTGCAAGGTGTATAAGCTTCTCATAACAAGTCAGTATGTGAAGAGAGACTACAGCTCTTCCCCAAAACTTTGCATCAGTTCGTAGTATGGGCTTGCTGTCTCGTGTAGTATCCTCACCAAGCCTACTGTGATTTTTTTCTGTCTCTTGCCTAATCTACAGACGTATCCAGTCTGCACATGCATTCCTTCTGAAGTCATGTCCACACCTCTGATTCCAAGATCATTTCACTCTGCCTTTCCTTCAAGTCCGTCTGAAATGGAGACACTAAAACAAGCAGACCTATTCTGCCTGCCTTCCCAAGAGAGGGACTCTCCCAAAAGTCATTAGGGAGGGTATCTCCCTAACAGAGGAGAGGCTGGTCTGTAGCATCAAAGAACATCGCTTGATCAGTGACATGGGGTCTTGTCATACTCTTTTCTAGATACAGAGGGAAGACATACAGGGCAACTGTTAAGATTGTGCGAACGTCGGATCAGGTAGCAGATTTCTGCAGGAGAGTCTGTGCGAAGCTGGAATGCTGCCCCAACTTGTTCAGTCCTGTTCTGGTGGCCGAAGTCTGCCCAGAAAACTGCTCCATTCATACTAAAACCAAGTACAGTGAGTATTGGCCAAAATGGTTCATGTTGCTAGCTGGGAATCAGAGACTGTACATGAGCTAGTCATGAAGAACAGGAGTTGTGTAATATATTAATATTGAGTAGAAATCGCCAGAAGACTGTCCATGTCACTCCATCATGATGTATCTGTTTGAAAGTCATTACTCTTTGGAAGTCTTAACTTTTCTTCCTATGTGAAGCTCACATAGGGAACACATAAAAGGAACCTGGAGGGGCCAGCTGAGATTTAAACTGCTACACCTCAGACAGCTTCATTAGGTGAGATGAATCCTATCCTGCTCAGCAAAGGGTTTCCAGCATTTGCACCAGCACAGACCAGTATCGTGCTGTCGAGGTGCTGGAAGGAGTTCGGTAACATTGGCTCTCTCTGCTCAGGATGTTTTATATTTAAACATGTTCCTACCTATTCAGGAAGGCTGAAGTCAAGTATGTGTGCAACACTTTTTGTTGTCAATGTTACTGATGTTATTGGCTCTTAAACAGGTCAGGAAAATGGAAGGGAGGGCAGCCCTTCTTCTACAAAGGTCGTAAGAAACCAATATGATTGATTTAAACTAATTGGCTTCTGTTTGGCACCAGAGTAGAAGGAGAAATGGACTCAGGAAGATATTCAATAGATCACTGAGTGTGGGTTTCTGTAGAAGTCCATCCCTGAGCTCGACTCCTGGCTTTCAGAGGTAGCAAACAGAGAGCTGGAGGAGTACAGCTAGGGGAGCTGCAGCTGAGATTGTCTTACCTCAAGAGTTTATGGTTGTATGTGGCTGGATGAATTTTTCCTCAAAACTCCATTATTTTGATGAAAGGCTCAGTTCCGTTATGAACTTTGACATGGGCGCCAAGTGCCATTTGAGTTGTCCTGGGATAGCTTACCTGGTGAAGGGCAGAGTATCTGTCAGCCTCGGAGGATGCTGAAGAGTATGTATGTCAAAAGGCACCTGATCCAAGCTACTAGCATAAGGTCAGAGGACTCTCACGTCCTTAATTTCATCTTGGGCCAAGAAATATTTGAAGGTAAGAAAAACCTGTTCCTTCATGCATTGAACAAAAACATCATACATAATTCAAGATAGCTGGCCCTCTCTGATGAAGACATTAACACTGAAAGTGTATCTAAGACTGTTAACTCACGCAGAAGTGCATCGCATCAAATCTGAAACATGTTGGCTTCTCTCCCTCCAAATCACTGCTCGGCTTAGTGGAAGCTTTGACTAAGTACATACTGTTCAATTCTGAACTCCTCACTCATCATCAATAAATGTGTATACATAAAAACTGTAACACTCTGCGCTAGTCCAAGATGACATATTTACACTGGACATTTTTTCCAAATCAATGTATTTTAAAGTTCCTCGTAAAAGTGCACCTAGGGTGCAGTACTGAATCAGTAGCAAGGACAAGCCGAAATTTCCTTCTCTTGGTTGTTAAAGAAGTTTTTAATGGGTATTTCATTTCTCCAGCTTATTATTATGGGAAGAGGAAAAAAATCATTAAGCCACCAATTGGGGAAAATAACAACATGAAAAGTGGACATGTCAAGCCAGCCAGGCGCAGGAAAAGGCGGAAATCCATCTTTGTGCAGAAGAAAAGGAGGGTGTCCGCTGTCGATTCAAATGCTGCAGGCTCTGCAGAGGTATGTATTGCACTGGAATAAAGCAACGAAAGCACCTTGGTGCTTTTCTGTCCCCACATCTGCATCTTCCTTTGGGGGACTTCCCAGCAAACCTCAATGCTTCCATTTTCCATTTTGAACCCCTCGTTACTACTCTCTTCTTCTAAGGTCAGACAGATTTTATTGGGACACTTTGGGGACTTTTACCCCTGTCCATTCTGAAGTTAGCAAATTAAGTTTTTGCTCCCACCTTCATAATGCTCTCTAGCTAACATGCTTTCTAGTATATCTTTGTTTCCTCTTGCTTCCTTGTAATCCTGGGGGCAGGCAGATGAGCCTGTTAGGTGCTTTGCACAGCATCTAGCAGAGTGAAGGAGATCTGTGATCCGTGTCTAAGATCTCTAAGTATTATAATAAATAACTCATGGGCCGTTGTGGTTTCAAGGGCTTTTATTTTTACATGAACCATTCATAATATTTTTGGCTTACAACATCAAGCAATAGGCATTCTAGAAACTTTAGAAAACAAGCAAATGGTTTATGTCTCAAATGTATGGTATTTGAGACCTCAGTCTTTCCAGTATGCTGTGTGATACGACAGGGTCCCAGCTCCAGCAATGTTTCATGTCCAAATACAACCTGGAGCAGACTTAGTTTTACATGGACCATTCCTGGGTAGTTTTCCCATGGTAGCAATGACAAAGTCCATTTGTGGTTTCCCTTCCTCATCTGAGTGCCAGTGATTGCTGCTTTCCACAACGTGAAATAAAACTGATTTGCTTAAATTCCCTCTACTTCGGTCGGAGGGGGATATTATAGTCAGCTTTCAGTTGGCTGCTTGCATCCTCCTCACTTGTTCCTCATTTAGGTGTAGTTCTGCTTCATTTCCTTAGATTATACTTGCTTCAAAGGAATTTAAACTCATGTTGAGCCTAAATCAACCATTAGCTAAGTTTTTCAACCTTTCAGCCAATATAACTAACTTTGTCTAAAATTGCTTTTTCGCTTAAGACCTGAGCGTGTGGTTTGGATGCGAGCTCACACTTTGATCAGAGCTAAGCTGTCGAAGCCATTTGGGCAACTTATGCATGTACAAAGTTCAAAATACAGTTTCCATCAGTTGGTGTGTGCTTACAAGCTCTGCATGACAGAAGTAACAAGAATCTGGTATAATAACCTTTAAATGAATATTTGTGCTTCACCTTCAGCAGTTAGATGTTGAGCTGAAAGGAGGGAAATCTGGGTTAAATTGCTTGTCCTGGATTTTACAGAAATGCCATCTAAGAAATCAAGTACAAGTATGAACTTGTACACCTAGATATTTTTAAAAGGCACCAAAATATCCTTCCTTTCAATACCAGTGACACCCATGACAATTTGAAGCAAGGTGAAGGCTTAAATTCAAGCCTATTTCTGATTTTATTTCATCTCAAGCAACCTGAATTTCATTTTATCATCTCTGTATTTTCCATTTCCCCTTCTCATGCACATCTACAGTGCCACAAGGCTTGAGATACCAGCCCAACAGAGGAATATTTCATGCTAGATGAATTATTGCCATTGACCTTTTGTAAAGAATTAGAAAAAGGATTTGTCTACCATGTATTTTTTTCTTCTGTATTTTGTAGCAAATCTAAATTGAGGTCTAATCTACTTAACACTGTAATGAAAAGGAGATAATTCAGTTAAAATAAATGTTACCCTGGACCAGCATGGCTATGGACATGCAGTTTTGCCCAGTGCCTTTTGATTTGCTGCTAATCTCTGATACTGGATGCTGTTTTTCTGATGCTCCTTGTGCAGGAGAGTGAAGATGAGGAGCCAGATGTGATGGAGGACGAGACGGGAAGTGAGGAAACCAGCTCAGAGCTCCGGGATGACCAGACGGATACCTCCTCTGCTGAGGTCCCCTCCACCAGACCCCGGCGAGCGGTCACCTTGCGGAGCAGCATGGAGTCAGACAAACCTCCTCCCACGGAGAGAGCCAGACGGAGCCGGAGACCACAGCCCCACTCCTACAGCGAGGCAGAGAAATGCACGCAAGTCAAAGAAGTGAGTATGTCCATAGGCTTTCAGTGCCAATTAATAGCAGTATTCTGCCAAATTAACCTTCGGTGCCAATCCTTCCTCATCTGAGGAGGGCATCCCTGCCCTGGTTTTCCACAGGAGGTAGTCTTCTTTATGGGAGCTTTTTTGGTCTTTCGTAGGAAATTAAGCAAGAAGAGGAAGAAAAGCTCATCCTGGACAGTAATCCATTGGAGTGGACTGTGACTGATGTCGTGAGGTTTATTAAACTGACTGACTGTGCACCCCTTGCCAAAATATTTCAGGAGCAGGTAGACATCTTCATGTAACTCATTTCTTTGTGTCTGTGGTGCTTACTCACATCACAAAAAGAGAGCAGCACATGCCACCTTGCCTGCTAACTCTTAGAAATTGAGTCAGAGCCTTGCCAGATTCTCAGAGAGACCAGAAGCCCCATAGCCTGAGTCCTGATGAAAAGCAGGAGGTTTAGACCTTTCTTGTTCATGCCAGGGTCCACAGCACCATCCTGGTGTCACATAGGTGGGCACCTCGGTGTACTAGCAGGTTGGTGGTTATCTGGTACATAGCAAGCTGTCCCTTGTGGCCACATGAGTTTCACCCTGTTTTAAATATTGTTCTGGGAAGCAGAAAACTGCTGCTTGAACCCAGAACTGGCTGCCTGAATTTTGTCACTAACACGTAGATGCTTCAAGTAGGTAGACACCTACTTCTCATCTGCATCCCTCCAAAGATCTGGCAGTCGGGCCCTTGGATGACCTAATTTTAGGAGATGCCAAGCATCCCCCCATTAAGCAAATAGGTTTGCAGGAGCAGAAGCCAATGCTCTTCATCTCAAGTCAGTGTGAACATGTAGAATTTATATAGAAACAGCCATTCCCTGGCCAATGAGTAACAGCCACTGCTGACAGTAAAGGGCAGTGCTAAGAAATCAGAGTTAGAAAGAAACAAGTGTGGTTACTTAGGCCGTAGCTGATGGCAGTCGGTGGTATGGCCAGCTGCACATGGAACTATCTCTGATTTTTCACCATGAATAACTCTGTACCCAAGTACAGCTGCTTTGACTGGGAGAAGTTGCAGGGCAAGTCTAGAGCAAGACTGAAACACTCCATAGCAAGACACTGTAGTCACTGCGCCGCAGCGTGCTCCAACCATGTGTTAATCAGCCTGGAATAACACCAGGGCTTGAAAGCCAACCCTGGCTCTCCTTTGCCAAAGAGTTTTGTGGGGACTTTAATCAAGCACAGATGACTAGAGCTTCTCCTTGTGATTTGCAAGGAAGCTCTGGTGCAATGGGCCATGCCATCAAGCTTCAGTGGAGGAAGAACCTGAGCTGTTGATAGTCCTGATCAAAGTAGTGCTTCAGGTGTCCAAATCCTCCTTGTGTTCAGTGCTACCTAACCAGGGCCGTCCTGGGGAGTTTATGTTGCCTGTTGCTTTTTCTGTTCCTCCCTAAGGGGTAAAAAGCAGTTTTGTAGCCTGCTCGTCTGCTTCTCAGGCCATTAAAGAATAAAGAGGACTTGAGCTCTTAATTAAGAAAGGGATCATAAAGCCAACAGAAATCCCTGATAAAATGGCTTTTGTCTGGGGTGCTAGTTTATGGAGTTTGGTTTGTAGATATGCCTGAGGGAAGGACGTGACCTCCAGAGGTCCCTTCCAGCCTACACCATGCTGTGGTTCTGGGACATTAGAGATTGCAGGAGATGTTCCAGGCCCCTCTGTCTTGGATGTTCAGCAGCTGAAGTGGAACAGGGCAGGTCGTGTGTGAACCAGGGGACACAGCATGGAGCAAGGCAGACAGAAACCTGTGCTGAGCAAATGATGGGCCAGAAGAGCTGGGGGAAGGTCTGACTTGGCAGGGGGACCAGCATCAGTTTCTCCTCTGTCTCCTGGTGTGCTCTCTGCAGCCTCCCCCTTGTGTCAGTTCCTCAGTCATACAACGGGACTAATCAGGTCTCTGTGGACCCTGGAGAGTTTCTTTAGAAGGTGATCTTGCATTTCAGCAGCTGAGAGGCTTTTCCCAAACTGGGGGCAAGATGAGAGCCTATGATGACACACCAAACAACTTCTGAAAAAGCATCAGGTGTCCGAGAGAAAGGAGGTAGGCAGCGTCAGAGAAAAGGGCAGAGGACAAAACCACTTTTAATTTTTAGGACAAACTTCCCTTCTTGCTTCTCCAGACCTGGTTATGCTTTCTGCCCTTCAGAGTCCAGAAACAAAACCGTTTCCCCTGTCTTTTTCTTCCCCAGGACATCGATGGCCAAGCCCTTCTGTTGCTGACACTGCCCACGGTGCAAGAATGCATGGAACTGAAGCTTGGTCCAGCCATCAAACTGTGTCACCAGATCGAGCGAGTAAAAGTTGCTTTCTATGCACAATACGCCAACTGACTGCACTTCTCCATTTGTTTCTGTTCTCCTTCTTGTTCCCTCTCTTTTGCAACATTTCAACTTGTTCAAGGGTTTTTTTCCCCTATCCCTTTTCTATTCCAAGAACACATGGAATTAGAAGCTCTGGGAATTAATCTATAGGGAAGGGAAAAAAGAAAACAACCCACAACAGAAAACTAGCAACAAATTGAATGAATTTTTCTGTACTTGTAAAGCACACTGAAAGACTGCTGGCCTCTCTCCTCATGAGCCTCGCCAGCCCATTACGCAGTGGTGCAAGGCCAGCACGGATCAGATGGTTTGTCATTTGTTAAAACAAAGCTACCAATGACAGGCGCATTCCCAAGGAGAATGGTTGGACATTTCCAGATGATGATGGTTTGTCTAGGCCAATTTCTGGACGTGAACATTTCTTTTAGCCAACTCTGACACACTTCTTTCATATTGAAATGGAAGTGACCATTTGTAGCATTACCTGGGGTTTACTGCAAATTTGGTCTTAGTGATCAGTGGGCTTTTTTTTTTCCTGCCTCTCCAGTCTTACAAAAGGAAAAAGCCTTATACCAGTCATACGCTGTTGGTTATTCCCGAGTGATGTATGAAAGAGGACTCAACCCATGGTCTCTGTATGGCTTATGCACAATAAGCTGAGTGTCTCTGTGATGGGATCTGTATAGTGCTGCATTCTGGTTCAGGAGCGTGCATGGAAGCTTTCATGGTCAAGCCTATCCTCTTCAGTCTTTAACTCACTTTAAAGACCTGACTTTGAGCCCCACAGGGTGTAAGAAAACAAAAAAAAAAAGGCTATTGAGATTTAATGTTGAGTGAATGCTGGTTTCATTTGCACCTTCGTGAATCTGGTTGCTAGGTGGGAATAAGAAGCATCAGTCTTTTCAGGCTGCATACACCTTTAGACCAGCTGAGGATCCGGTCCAACACAGTCTATATAAAACCCCCAGATTGTCCCAGTGCCACCCTCACTAGTGAAACTGGGAGCTTGCTTCATGCCAAGCAGAGTGAGCACCAGAGAGGGTGAAGAAATGGGTTGGGCACCTTGGGTTTGCCTGAGTTTTGTTTGTAGGAGTGTTTCACATTTACTTTGCAGGGATATATGACCCCATTAGACCCGTGTGTTGAGCTTGACTTTCCTGTAACTCAGCAGAGGTTGGCAGCATCACAGCAATGTAAGATTCTCCCAAAAACAAGAACCAAACGGGGACCAAGTCTGAATTTTGCTCTAAATTTAAGGTGCAAGTGAATCCCTTCCTCAGAAAGTGAATTGTGTGGCTCGTACTGAGTTTTAGCCTGATTTCACAGAAAACCACTGACTTCAGCAGACTTGGTTCTCAAACCATAGAGATCCCTGTTCCCTGGCCTCAGGGAGCTCAGCTTGGAAATTGTACACAGCTCTGTTGCAATGCTGTGGTGCCAAAGCCCACTCAGTGAAGATCTCTTCAAAAGGAAAAGTCATTTCCAGCCCTAAATCTGAAGCCAATAATTATGGACAGATAATTTCCCACCTCAAGCATATAACGTATGGTGACAGCAATCTTGGATCTGATAATCCTGCTGACCACCGTGTACTCAGAAGAACCTACTGTCCAACACCAGGCTATAGCTGCTGCTTTCTCCTTCATCAGTTGCCTCCTTAAATTCTTTGGTTTAAAGGGGGAAGGCCTCAGAAATAAATATTCTGGACTACATCCGAATCTGCCCTAGAGCATGTGTTGGGCAAGAAGTATTGACTCCATTTGCCGTGCATCACTGGGGATTTTCTAGTCTGTCTTTCAGTGAGTTTTGTGATTCTCCACTGAGGAATGTGATGGGTGCAACCGCTGCAGGCAAGGCCAGATCCTGCAACTCCTGAGACTTCATCCAAAATTTTCTTACATGGGAGATCAGCAGGACTGGATCTGTTCTCAGTTGTTGTCTTGTACTGAAGATCTTGTTGTTTCAAGTTTTAATCAACTGAAAGGAAAAGCAATCACCTCTTCATCAAATGCTCTTTTTTTTGTTGTTGTTGTTGTTTCTCAGAAATCCAGGAATAGGGTTCTGTAGTGTTGCAAAAGTTCAAAAGCTGGGTTTTAGACTGGATTTCGTACTGACAGCAGCAGTGGACTGTGTCCATGCAACTGGTTTGATAACTACTTTGGATGTCTCTTAGAGTACCCTTAGAACACTGTTCCTTGTTTCTTCTCTGAAGACAAAAGGATTGTGCCCAGCAAAATGAGAGCACAGCTGAAAAAAACAGAGAAGGTGCTTCTACCAGCTCCTCCTTGCTTTATCGCAGTCCCTCCAGTGGCTGGTATGACATCTGTAAAAGACTGCTGTCTGGAGAACTGGTGTATGAGGACATTTCAAGGAAGGGAAGCAGAGTGGCTGTTTGCTAAACAGCGTCCCAGCACTGATCCTTCACTTACCACATCCACCTTCTTCTGAGCATCCTTCCTGCTCTGATGTTCTTGGAGTTTCTGGCTTCTGGGATTTGTCTGAGACTTTTAACATTTCCTGGGACATGTTGCAAAAACGTCTTTGTTTTCTCCATCAACCTGGTAACTGTAGATATTCCTATGGCAGCTAACTACTCATGGAGGCATGGTTGGGGAGCAGACAGACGCAGACTCTGAGAGCAACCAGCTCCGATGTTGGCCAAGGCGTGAAGCATTGAGCCCAGCACATGGGAGTCTTTACTGATTGTTCAGGGAAGTTAAATCGTATATAAAACACACCTATTAAACAAAAAAAGATTTTTAATTTTATCTTGCGCCGTCTCTTTTGTTTCTTCAGGTTTCTCTCTCCTCACCATCTGTCTTTCAATTTATTGTCCTTCGGTATCGTCTCATGTATCCCTCTCCGTCCTTTTAGAGAAGATGATAACCTGACATCTTTATCCTGAAATTACCTTGGGTGGTAAATGCTTTATTATTTCCTTTAGTCTGCAGGTTGGGAAGAAATAGGAGATTGGGCTACTGTTACCTGTTGCACTGATTGCCTTGCAGAAAAGTTTGAACTTGTTAGACAATTTTGTAGGCAAGTGGAAAATGGCTGGTGCATAGTTTAAATGGACAGTGTGTTCAGATTGTCACTTACAGCTTAAGCAGTCATCAGAAGGAACTACTTATGCTTACTCAGACTTCATTTCAATTCTGGAACATTAGCAAGGCTTTGGTGTAATGTACTTCAAAGGAGATGTTGGAGACCTGATCTTGCTAGGGTAAAATATCACTTTACTTTGCAGTGTAGAAGTATAAGTCGCTGGAAGTTTTTTTGGTCCCGTCCTTGTTCCAAGTTAAATTCAGAGCTGGTGCAACTTCACAGATACACTGATGACATTGATGAAGCCACATCTTCTCCCTTCCCTGTTCTGAATTTGGCATGCGGGCCTGAAGTTTATTGCGTTATCAGCTGTGAAAGGCTGCCGCCGTGAAGTGCTGAACTCATGATTATCCAAGACCATTACCAAGGGCTGAGGAGCAACCTTGCTCTTGTTTTTTGGGTGCTGGATGCTGAATTTCAGCATATTCACGCAGACCGCTTTGCTCCCAGAAGAAGGGTTTGCAGGCACCTGTTTTGGGCCTCTCTTCAGGCATAAGACCAAGGATGGGCATTTCTGGAGCAAAAGTAGGCGGTTGAGGGGTGTGTAGTACCTGCCCATCTTCATCTGTACTGGCTTCTGTTGAGCCTGCACTCCCATCAAGTTGAACAGATCCATGGGCAGGTCCCTACTCCCTTCCCAACTCCCTCAGCACTTACCTTGACGGAAGCAGACAATTCCCAGTCTGCAGGTCCAAAGAACCAGTCTCTGAAATGGGATTAAAGCGTTAGTTTAGGGGAATGTCCATGGTTCCTTGGCTGGTTGTCCTGCCTTCCTCCTGCTGTTCGGCATATTCCTCTCCCAGCTTGTAGAAAAATATTCCCTTTGGTTTTAGAGCTCTTCTTCCCTTTCCAGCTCAAAACCACAGCTCCCATCCACACTCCCTTTTTTTTTCCCCTCCATGCCAGGATGGCCAAACCCTGACTTTTTCTACCTCTCAGAGGTGTGATGGCCTCTCAGCTCTGAGAAGGGTTTCAGGCTTTCCAGCTCCACCATGTTAACCATGTTAACCATATGCAGTAGCCCTTGGTATTTTGGTCCTGCCGGGTGCAGAAAACCACCTAGAAATGCTGTGTGCTGTCAGTAACCACAGAAATCAGGGCAAATGGTTGCACACCCTGTCCTTCATGAAGCATCTAGCAGATGCATATCCTAGCTGAGACGGCCTGACCCACACTGTCAGAGGTATTTAAATGTCTACTAGGATTTACAAAGTTTCTTGGTAAGTTAGACACCTAAAACCCATTAATATTTCACTCTGTGTAAACAGCTAATCTGCCTTAAACTGGAAAGTCACCATTCCTTGGCTTCAACCTTCAGTGTTTTGCACTCCCCAGTCGCGTGGTGTGGAGCAAAAACCATCTCAGCTCTTTGAAGACAAACCTGATGCTGTTGGGCTGCCATAATGAACTTCTGGTCACCTGAAAAGCCTGCCTTGGTCTTTTCAGGGCACAAAATTGAATTTGGCAGAGCTGCAGTGCCATCTCAATGTTTTAGGAACTCAGTACTATCAGGACACTTAAAATACTTTTTTGCTTTTCTGGTGCAGTGTGTCTGGAAAATGATGAACTCAGACTGTTCCTCCCATGTCCAAACTCAAGTGCCAAAAGTGAAGAACATGCTGCAACTGAACACCATTAAAACCAGCTTTATTACATGTGGATAAATATAGTCTCAAGGGCTCCATTTTGGTGCTAAGATGTGTCATGCTGTATTTTCCATTGCTTGGGATTACAAAGCTGACTCACTACTCCAGGAAATATTTTCTGTAATCAGCAATGTCTTAAGCATTACGTTTTTTTGTTTCTTGTGGCTTTAGATTTTTTAACTCAGATACACTCAACAAATACCACCCCCCTAGTCAGCTGAGTTCTGGGAGAGTTTTATGTGGTATATATCTGTAAAA